GCCTGCGTCTCAATACTTTTTAAGTGGTTTAACCCTCGGTTATAAATTATTGTAGCAGATCCGATATAGTAGTGTCATAACCTGGGGTAGTAAATCCAAAAAGTTAATGAAGTCTCTATAAGGGCTACTGGAAAAAGAAGAAACACTAAGCACGTCTTTTCTCTACTAAATCAAGTATCTGTCAACCGGTGCCGATATCACGAATATAACTGCGAATATTTGTGATATCGAATATATATGGGCATTTTATGAAGTTCTCAGAAGGTCGACGGGCGCTCTTTGGTCAGATAATCTTTTGGAATTTACTACCGCTTTGGAATATTTCTTTCGAAGTTTCATTCTAAAAGATAGCAACTAATAAAACCGAGATATCTGTAAAATATTATTTATTTAACTCCGACTACTGCTGAATGTAATCGATTTTATTAGGTAAGAACATATCACAAGGAGCCCATTTAGTAGTTCTAATAACAGAATCAACTTGAAGTGATTACTACTTGCAATTATGCTCTGTTGACAAAACGATAAAAAACAGATTTTTACTTTATTAAGATTTTCAATTCTTTTAATAAACGATATAAATCCTTTGATGTTCGACCGATAAGAATTTGGAATCTCTTATCTTTGAAATGATAATCGGTTTTAGCTCGATTATTGGATTATTTCACTTATTTGATTAGATTTTGAAAATTAAAAATCCATCAAATACTCGAAATCTATAATACCTGTGTAATTATGTGGTGTTTAAATATATTATTTTACTTACATATGCACTTATGAATATTTCACCATGCATATTATATAGTAGGTACATTTTATATTAATTTTCGCGATAAGTATGTATATTCATATTTCGTTTTTAAAGCAAAAAGGGCAAAAACGCCGTCTTTTATAACTTCAAAGTATCTCAGATCAGTGATAAACCTTACTAATGATTTGCCTTGGAATCATAAAAATCTTTTTCTGTAACAGTAAAAACCGTAAACGAAATATTCTTTGAAAGAACTAATTGCTAAGATTTCAGTTCACTGCACTTTGTCATTAAACATTTCTTATTCAAATTATACACAATCCGATTTCCTTTCAGAAAAAATACATCATACCTTTAAAAGAAGCCTTAATCTTCCGATACGTTTTAATAATTTCCTATTTGATCTTTTACCGGAATGCTCGCGATCACTCCTTGTACATTAAATCATCACCCTCGCTAATTAAAAGCTCTTCTCTGCTTTTTCACATTTATTTTATTTTATATATCCGATCAACCATCTTCAAATGACCATTTTTTTATTTGTTTACTCACATTTATTTTGCTTTCCTACTCTTATTATTTTGGGTAACTATAAAAAAGCGTAGATGCCAATTTATATTAACTAGAGCGCAATTTAGCATCCCTTTGATGTACTATATAACCATGCGTAATCAGAGCGTAGGTCCATAAACGTAAAATTAGGCTCGTTCTCAGTTAGATTCAGTTTCCATCGGCTAGAGAGCAAGAAGAGAATTCTGTAGCAAGTATCACAAGACACAAGTCAACTCAACTGAACCCTTCTTAAAATCCATTAGCCTTCAATAATAATGTCCGAAGTATCTCACAAAGAGCGATCTAAGAGCCGAAGCGGGACTAAACGCTATATGCAACAATTAACTCGAAAGGCTAAGTATATTACTCACTACTTACCTAAAGGCTTTAAACTCTAAACTCAATTTACACGAATTTAATGCGTAGATATAGCCCTTGTCAGTTGTGTAAAAGACGGAAGAATTGAGTTTCGAATCTCGAAGGCGAATTTAACTCGGGAATGTAAGGGTTCGTTTGTATATTTCCCGCGCCAATTAACTTATTAACTCATCAATTTTTGTTAATAAACCACTATGAACCATCTTTTCTAGCAAAATATTGGAATTGAAAATGTTGAAAAGAGCGAGGCCGGATTAGGATATGGGATTAAACTTCCACAAATGGACCGTGATATTGGGGTCTGTTTGATACTAGACAGTGCAGGGCAATTCCCGAAGGTATATACATTATACATTCAATTTCTGCTTTGAAGGGATTATTTAATTGATAGACGAATTTCCTTAATGCAACGGTTAGACGCCCTGCATAAAGGAAGTTTAGTCTCTTACCCTTACTTTGAAATTATTACAGTGTAATATTTCCGGAAATACATACTCCTCTGATCAATGTATACATTATCCGCTGTTGCTGTTGCAATTTAAATTTATCCCTCGCCGGTACAACGCGAATCTTGCCTGTGAGATATAATTAACATGCAATACCAATTTGTATCTAAAATTAATCATTTCTGATGAGAACATATTTTCCATTTAGGTACGCTTATGATTTTTATTTAATTTATAATTTTACTTAAACTTAGTTAAATAAATTGCATCAAACCTAACATTATTTGCACTAAACACGTGCTTAATTTTTCCTATAATTTCACATGCATGCATCAGATTTGAAATTATTTTCATTATTTGTTATATAATTGTTCTAAATAAATTTTATTTTTCACTCCTGTATTTGATTATCATCGCTTAATTGGCTTAATTTAACGCATACACTCATTGTTATACGACTTGGTTTCCAAGATTTAAATATTTATTTAACTAACATGATTTACTCTTTCTGTGATTAGACAAATCCTAAGTAGATATCTACTATTATGAAAATTAAAAAAGAGCCAGTGACGTGCGCTAATCGAGAACATTTCGGATTTTTAATACTAATAAATAGTAGATAAGCATCGTAATTCACCACATAAATAAAACGGATATCGAGTGCTTTACCCAAACGACAATTCCTTTCCATCAATTCTCTATGAGGTATCAATTCTCAGATGCGGGCATTAATATTAATAGATTTTCTTTCCGTATTTTTTCCGTTTAAGCCAACTTCATAAGGATTACTTAGGTATATCATAAAAAGGTTATTCGATTAATAAAACTCGACCGACGGTTACGTAGGAAGACAAACTGCCATCCAGTGGGGGTGAGAAATCAATAAATTATTCTTATTTTAATATGCCAATAAGAATTTAAAAATGTACAAGCACAATAACGATTAATAACGATTATTATATTTCATTTCGTGATAGGTACTAATTAGCTATTCTTTATTATTAGATTCTAGTAATAGTCTAATGAAATTTTTTTCTTACCAAATTCGCCTTCCCTGGTGGATAATCCGCTTACCTGTGTATACCGTCGACAGGCTGCCACATTCTTGCTTTGGTTTAACTCTGAGAGAGATGAAACTTTGATACTTATGGAACACGATAGAGCTGCACGGCACTAATATACCTATTAGGGAGTTTTATAAGCCGGCTATAAACTAACCGGAAATGATTAGAGCTAAATAATCGTCGCAAGAGAAAACCGTCCCGACGTTTTTTAATCCACAAAGTGATGAATATCTATCTATGTGAGAATGTGTACGTCTGAATCGGGGATTTATTGGACAAAAGCCACTGCATAATTAGTAACGTTGGTTATTAATATTGCTGTTATATATTTCGTACCTAATTAAATTGCATGCATAAATGATGTTATTATTTAATCTATCCGATTTAGTTTTATTAGATAGGTAGGTAATCAGTAATCGCATCAGTAACCAATCAATATCATAAAATTTGTAAATCTATTGATATTTTAGATAGCAAGCCGATGATTGAACATTAAACTACTTGTAATTTTAATTACTCTGTTCAATTTGGTGCAATGAACAATTTTAAAAGTTTGTTTTTGTTTCTCGGATTTATCTGATGTTAACAGAACCAATGTTAACAACAAATGTTATTAACTCTATTTTATATTGTATTGAATTCTAGCTCATTCTAAATCTGTTAATAACAATAAAAAACCTGAAATTTCCATAATTCAATAAGTATTATTATTTGATGAGAAAGTATCCATTTAAATTCGTTTAGCGCGAAGCTTTTCGAAACAGCTTCGAAACGGAATTTATTTGCAAAGCTCCGCTGTTTCGCCGCGCGCGAAAAAATAAAAAAAAGAATTACGCGACTTTCCGATAAAGTTCGCAAAGGGCCGAGCATCCCGTATTGCATCTCGATGGAAATAAAATTAACATAGAAAGACTGTAATGCGCCGCAACTCGCACATTGACGACTTAAGGACGCGGAAAACACACGTGTGTCCCGATCACGTACCATCGTTCCTATTCCGCGGATTTGCTCCGGATGAATAATTTGTTAAGAACCCTTTGTTACTTGTGGGCACTACCTAAGCGTCGCAACGCCTATCCCCGGCGCCGAACTCCTCCCACAACGGCGCCGCGACGCAAGACGTGACGATGAGGCGCTTGCGCTTTCTACCTTCCAAACTTTCAAATCATATAAAATAGTTTGCTGGAAATTTTCACAAAAATTGTGCGAATCGTATAATTAGTATTATGGTGATAAATAATTTATATTTTTGTATAAATAAACTACATTTCGCGCTATTATAAATGGTAAATTATTGTAATTTTTTAGGTATGTTCATGGAAAATAAATCAATTATAAACGATTTGTAAGTATAGGTAAATAAGTATAAAAATTTGTTTTGTATATGTAAAATTAAATATACCGAACGTATTTTCGAATGTAAGAAATTAAGATAAAAACAATAGGTTTAAAAGGAATTATAATAGGAAGCGCGGGAATTAGTAAAATTCCGGGCGTATAATTCGCAAGAAAACTAATTAGAATCGGTGCGGTGCCACCCACAACGTGGAGATTTGCGAGCAAAACCTCCTTCGCGATTTAGTTGATCGAGAAATATCGCCGATAAAGATTGAACCTAGAAAATCTGGTTGGCTAGTGGGCCGGCCACGTTCATTAAGAAAAAGCCTCGCGCTCGATGGTTTTTTTAAAATGCCGAAACGTCTTGGACGGGCTGGCGCATGTTTAGGGGTGGTGCGAAGCCGGCAACCACTGCTGGCGACGCGTCGAGCGCCGTCGAGTGGAGAAATTCATTCATTCCGAATTTCCAGCAGTCGCGTTGGAACTCCTCAGCGAAGCGGTTGGCGTGTCGAGCTCCGTTTCGGCAGTTCGGTCACGTTGTTTTCGCGTATTCAAAATACTCGTTAGTATGAAGTAATATCGTACGTGTTGGTTTTTGTTTAGTTTTTACTTTTATGACGATGGACTTCCAGAGTGCTATGGAAACGTTCGCTGAAGCTTGGGTGGCTGCGAATACCAAGGGGGCTCCGCTTGCAGATATCTCCACGCAGGTAACCCCACCGGAACATTTTCTTAACGAAAATCCTTGAACAAATTTCCGAAATTCTAATGGCAGCTTTCGAATAAGCCCCATTATAATGGGTCTACTATTTCAATTTTCCTTAATTACTTTACCCTAATGATACTTTCTATCTACATAGATAAAGATAGATTTACTGGTTTTACTAATCACTTAATCGATTTGTTAACTATTTACAAATATTATAAATGATATTGGCATGGCATGCACAAAATTCGAAAAAATCGGAAATATTGTTGGGTCTGATTTTTTTTGTAAAGCAATAATTTATTTGAAATTTTATTCGTATCCAGAAAAATCACAAATTTTCAAAAGAATATGATGTCTAAAAAATTTTTCAATTCTGTATTAAAAATTATCATCATTTTGGATACAATTCAATGAATTACTCAGGTATTTGATGAATTAAGAAACTTTCTTATAATAATTTTCAAAATTTTCTGAAATCCTAACCTTTTACATAACTATCCCTTATCCTTTACATTATTATTTCAGAAATCCTAAACCTTTATATACATTATTCCCCTGAATAACATAGTGTTTATGCAAGGATTAGAGTTTTTAAAATCTTTGTCAACTTGTATCTTTAGAAACTAACTGATGGTAAATACATATTAGTTGTTAGTTACTTTCCAAATTCAATAGTGTCTAAATTTTATTTATTACTTGGAGCGTCTATGGCTAATTGCTTAAAAAAAGTTTATTACTTTTTTCTGATACTGAACAGAGTACAAAACCCCCTGATTTTTTTCTTATTTGATGTACAATTTACCGGAAAATCTGTAAAATCCGGTAAAAATATATTTAATCTCCACAAGACTATAATGTTAAGATATTAAAAAATTCCATTTTGCATGAAACAACATTTTTGTTCACCCCATATGGTGCTTTGTTGAATTCAATCGATTTTCCTGAATTTGCCTCCATATCCGTTCGGTAAGCTGAGATTACTAAAATCCTGGATTAGCTAAAATTTCCAATGGATGCATCTTCGGCAGCCAAATAAAGGGATTGAATTTATCAGTGTTACATAAATTCACATAAATTCTCCAGGGGATCCCCCGCAGATTTATAACTACATTTTTTGTAACTATGTTATTCAATTATTATAAACAATATGCATATTCAATTTATTGACTATGTATAATTGTGGAAGATTCCTTTTATAAAATGTATTCCTTTGTACCATCCTTTGCACCCACCAGGGATGTTTCGTACTCGCAATTTATTAATGTTGACATAATAATCTGAGTTAACTGGCTTTACTGATTTTTTATACGCATATGAATTAATTGAACAGTTAGATACTAAAATAATTGATACCCTTCGAATAAAATAAACGGACTTTGATGTTAATAATCAAATGTATGGCATATAGGTAACTGGTAGCACATTATGCTTCTCCTCGATAGCTATGGCAATTTAGTTAATATATTTTTTAATAACTTCAAGTACGAATCGTAGTTTTATAATGGCAGTATAATCGATCGTAAGAAACTAGCCACCATTTATGATATATTTATTTGCATCTGAACTTCATAATTAATTAACTTAAATATTATAATTACTGTTTGATACACAAATAACCCTATTAAATGTTTATACGACACATAGAATTAATGAGATGCAAGCTAGTGCGTTATTTATTTTTTTATGTAATTACCTACTTTTTAATATTGGATCACATATTAAATATCCTTTTAATTATTATTTATTACTGTAATACGGCAAATTCTCACTTACCTTTGATACTTACTCGTCAATAAAATGTAAACGAGGTTATTCCAAGGTATCATAAATAAGCAATTTAATCGTTATTACCCCTAATTGATTGAATAATTTTTTCTTTTTAATTACAAATATCCATCAACTACATAGATATTTATTAGACAGAAAAATAAAGCATATTTTTAATATTAATTGACTAATGTTTTCCATAAAAATCAGGCAATCTGACGTTTAAGTGAAGTATACTGTATAGATGATAATAAATTTTTGACTCAATATATTCTCACCCAAAGATAATTTTTGATGAATTGAACTTGTAAAAAAAAAGGTTGACTTAATCAATGTAAACCTGAGTTATAAAATGCTTTGTTTTCCGTAAAATTTATGGACAATTAATGCCTAAGTTATTTTTATAAATTTCTTTTTTATGTACTTTTTTTCTGTAACACAATTATTAATCAGTAACAACATTTATCTGGTAATTTATTGAGTTGATTGTATAAATTTATTTAGAAAATTAGCTATACATAGGACAGTTTAATGGAGATAATAAATATGTATGAATTCGCTATAGTAAAATTACAAAAATCGGTAGGTATAGTAAAAATTGTACAAATCATTACAAATTTGAATCATTTCTAAAAATCGTTCTTATAACTTGATATATCGTTCCTAGAAAACTCATGTTGTAATTAGATTAGATTTCGATTAGTTAATAAAATATGAATTAACGTAGGTATGTATCTATATTTTGTTATAATCTAAAAAATATTAATGACTGAACCCACCAGGTATTGGACTTCAATACTTATTTACTGTTTCATATGTATTTCTAAAAAAATCTGTGTTTTTAAACCACAAATCCTAGGTTTTAGGTCAAACATTGATAAGTAGAAATTCTTATCCTTAAAAGAAAACTGTAAAGTGTAGATCAAGGTAATCTTATTATACCTGCTTAAAGTTTCTTAAATATAGACAAACTCCCGCAGAGACGACGACAAAAGAATCTAGAGTACCTGTTGAAAGTCCCCCAAAATTTTTCATTTCATTTCGTCCCGTCCGAACTCGACAATCATGATTAATTATTCAATGTTCAAATATTGCATTTTTAATTTAACGACTTTTTTAAACCATTTTTTAGGACATTTTTACCTAACCCTGCGTAATCGATCAATTCACTAAAAGTAATTATATACTCAAACGACCAGTACACATATTCACGACCGGTAGATTTTTTCATGTGTGACATCCGGAATAATCCTATACGAACATTGTTACTTACCACCTGTTCAATTTATTGTGCCGTTCAAAGGGGCTGTATAAACAATGAAGTCGATTTTATAGCGTTTATTGTAAAATTTTGCATGGAAATTTCTAATTAAAACATTGATAAAATACGTCAAGGAAACCTAAAAACAGACTATTGTGAAATTAAAATCGGAATTCGCAAAAAAGGCCACACGATATTAATGCCCAATAATGTACTTTGATTTCATCGGTATATGAATAAAATTATTACCATTAGATTTCAGTATAATTAACGGAATTATAAAAAAAATAGTTTAGTTTAGGCAATTATAATATGTACGTATAATTATATGTTTCAATATAACCCTATACTCAAATCATACTGATATTTCATATATTATTGACAGAAATTATATCATTGTGTTGCGGAAATGTTGGTAATCCCACTCACCGGATGGAAAATATGATTGTGGATTATCCTGATGATAATATTAATATTTGCAATGTACTATCGAATAACAGAATATCAAAAATCAAATAAACATGTCCATTCGAAAAAAAAATCTCAACAAAGTGTTTGGGAAAACTAATTTTGTCTAACTATACTAAAACTGTAATATATTATGTATGCAGTTATTGTTTTTAGTAGTATTGTCTTCAAATTTTTAATTACATTTAATCTTCTCTAATCATCTTATCATTACATGCAGCTTAATATTGTAAAGATTGTAAGGAATAAATATAATGTTTTCACAGTATAAACAATTTGATTTCTTCTCGGAAATTCGTTTTATAGATTCTATACTTTCGTTTATTATGAAAAAGTATCAAATAACTATGATTCGTGGTTAGGTCGGTAAATATTTAATCTCTTGATACTATTTATCTGACTATTTTTCGTTCGGATATAAAAAATGGTGAGATTTGAGATTATTTAATCGAGATTAAGGAAAAACGCCGCTTTTATATATTGTATTTAAACTGATAAATTTGTATTAGATAACGGAATATGTATATTTAATTTGTAAAGTTTATCTCTTTAGCCGTCATTTATTTATTTTTCGGAACTTCTTATCGACAGATTTTTATAGCTTTTTCTTCTGAGGCTATGGAGATTATACGGATTCTCAGAATAATAAACATCCTATTTTCTTTTTGTTAAGAAAAATCGCGATTGTTGCAATAAAACAAGACTTTTTACTATTCTTTGATTGTTAAATCTCTTGTTATTTCATAAATTAAACCAAACTGTTATTGGTAAATTGCTTTTTATTTTTACGAATAAAAAGGTACACAATTAAACATGTTTTACAGTTGAATTTACAAACATTTCTAAATCCTATTTAAAATTAAGGAGAGATAAGTGAAAACAGTAGGTTGTATTCGAGATTACTGTATTGTCTTAGCGATAAACAAAATTTATTTATAAATCCCCAGTAGGAGATGATTAGTTACAACAATATTTCGAATACACAATTATTTTAAAATTAGTAGATATTCAGGTTATTGGATTTCACAATTACGAGAAGATTTACTTATCATGAAATTAAACGTTCTTAGGAAAATCACCGCCTATAAAATTAAAAGTTAAATTCAAGCGACCCTCTAACGCCGGTTCTGTTCAAAATCATCGAATGACAGGCTGGCCATAACTTAACCTTCTACGAATTCGCTGGGCAAAAACTGCCAGCGTTTGTATAAGCATGCAGGACCACAAAACATAATCAGGATCATCGACCTGTTTGCCCAACATAGGCGTACAGAGTGACCAAAGAAGTGCGAACTACAAGAGCGTTAATTTTTTTTCTTTCAATACTAATTTCAAAAATAATTGAAAAGTTCACGTTCAATTTCAGCCCAATTTCTACATATTTCAGAGACTTATTGTATTTTATATACCAAGAGAAATATATTAAAAATGTAAACGAGATCAAATTTCCAGATATTTGTATTGAAAACCAGCCAAGCACCGACTATGTAGTGGAATATATCGGTGAAACTAAAGGTGCCGAAATGGCCCAATATACTGTTTATTTTAGTGCAACTGGTTGGAGGCGCAATTTTATGTACTTCAAGGATCGACCGATACGGGTGGCAAACGATAATAAATAAAGCCTATTCCCAATCTACCTGCGTTAATTTTACGACAACGGATACCTTCTAAATCCCGCGTTATGCGATAGAATTTTAACATTTCAACACAGTGGTTGAAAAATTTTACCAATTCGAAAATGATGAAATTATGATGAAAACTTTGGCTAGAAATGAGATTGTGCGGATTCCTTTATCTCTTGAATTATTTACGAGCGTGTGGTCTATTTGAGGTTGTAAGTAATAATTGAAACTGTAAAACAATAACTATTTATTTTTTTTCGTGAACCCCTGTGGAAACGACCTCCTCGCAAAGGCAATTGTGTATTCTCGTAACCCTACCAGTGAATTCTTAATGCTCCCCCTACATGGAAGGTCCGCATTCTCAGATATAAGAAGATCTAAAACTAAATCTGCATGATTCATAATACCTTTAATCCGCATATAACAAGCATTTCTGTTCCCGTATTTTTTAAGCTCGTATTCTTAGTCTTTGAAATTAAATAAAGCTCATCAGACTCTCAACTTTACTACAGTCTTACACAGAAATAATCTCCATTCGTATACTTCGGTGGATTATATTTCGCAGTGTACAAATGTATTCATACTGCCTTTTTTGTCGAACTCACTCATCACATTTTGACGATAATAAACGAAATTTCATCTGTACGATAAATAATTACTACTTGTACTTAACACTGCAGTTGATTAGTTTGAGTCTAAAGGGGATATAATCATAATTATCGTATAATTAACCAAACATCAGGGATATAATACGACGTAGAATGTTACTACTGAATAAGATTATGTCATTTATTGTTTATTACTCCGATCACCCATTATCATTACCATTACTGTTTTCGATTTACTTAATTATCCTGATTGTCTTACTTAATTATACATGCAATTAGAAATTCTGCGAATTGATTTTTTTTGTCCATCCAACATATGTATAGGTATTTGATTCGACCGAGATTACGATTCGCGAAAATTTGTTTCCAATTGCATGTCGTAATACAACTGATAGATATAACATTCAGGAATTCTCTTGCTTTTTGACCCCACTTAACCCAGATTAAAAGCATCGGTTATGGGCTACTACTAACTGGCCAGATTTGAGCGACGCATACAATTAGGGTGCATCAAATTGCCCGTTGTTCAGACGCTATACTTACGTAGGTTCGAACATGTACCGTGTTTGATTCGTAAGTTACCAATTTATAGCACTGATTTGTTGTATTTGATATTGGCCCGATTTATTTTCGCGTTATTTAATCACGGACAATTAATCAATTCAGATAATTTCAATTAAAAATGTAACACTTATAGTAAGTCAATAAAGTCAGACTTCGTAAATTAATGTAATTATTCGGATGACGTGATATTTTTGTACGTAAATTAAAAGTAATATTTTCTATGGACTTTGGATAATAATATACTTAAAGGTAATTTTTTTATTGATGAAACTCTGATATTAGGAAAATGCAATTAAATATTATAATGATACACTTATGCAGCATATATTAACTCTTATACATTAATTCTAAGAATATGCCTCTAATTAATTCACGTACTAAATTAATTAGGTATATTTCCCAAAAGCCATTAGGTGCCATAATTTTAAATAATATTTATCCTACACATAAGTTTTCTAGAAAATAAAAAATATTGTAATAATTATTCATAATTGATTGTTCCTTAAACATGTCCGTTTTGTTCCAGAGCCAAGCTTTGGCATTAACTAGAAACTGCAAATCTCCAGCTCCCACTTCGGTCTCAAATGCTATCGAGAAATCTAATAGGGAATCAACCGAGCGAGATTTGACTCCCAGTGCCGCTAGATCATCAACTCCCTTAGAAAACACTGTTTCACCTCAATCAATTAAAGATGAGTTCGAATCGTCAAAAAATACTTCCACAGGTATGTTGATTATATTATATGGAAATACTTTCTTGTAGGCTGTAAATTGTGGCTTTCGACTTGAAAACTTATAGGCCCGGTTGCTCGTACTCGGATTAAATTCGTGATCAACTAATCTTGGATTAAAGTTAGTACTGGAATATACGGCGGCCATATTTAATCCCAAAATAAACTCGCGTTAATCCCGGATTAAAGTTGATGCGCGTACGAGCAACCGGGCCATACTAATACTAAAATAGATAATAAATAATTATATTAAATAAACGCTCTATGGATGATATTTGGGCGTGTAGGGAGCATTCCGGGCGGAGAATTATTAGCGACTTAGCATAATTGAAGTTCTCCCCTCGGATAAATTTTATTAATACATCAAAGATCAGGTCTGAGACATTATTCGAACGAGATTCGAGTTTATTAAGACCGACATTTATCAGAGTTATATTTTCAATTTTTCCTTTATATTTGATAACAGTAAATGCTAATCCCGCGCGAGCTTTAATCTCCAACTTCCCGTCTCAAAGCGGGAGGAAAGGCCAGGGTCCCTCTAATCCCGGCTTCCTTTAATTCCCTACCTTCAGCTTAATCCAGCTTTAACTGGCCTACCAGCGGTGATCAGTGGCGTGCGCACCGTTTCCTGCCGATACAGACCGGTAATTTTGTGTGTAACAAAATGCATGTATATAGTAAAAAATATTTTATACAATAAGCATTATCTTTATCTTAGCATTTAATTATCTTGTATATTTTAACTTAACAAACGAGTTTATCTGATTTATTTTAATATCCATCTACGTTTTTCATATTTTATTCCTAAGCTTCTGCAAATAGAAGTAATATTAATATTTGTTGTAAAATTGGAACAAAACGCTTGACCTCGCATTTTCTCAAATAAAAATCTAATCCGTCGGATTTCTGTGACATGTACCAAATGGAAAGAAACACATCTAGAAACACAAAAAACCTTCTCCTTCTATATATTCTCTACAATTTAATTGTTGTTTTTCGATTCGACTGCACGGAGGAAAAAAAGAGGGTCGGCATATGGGCGAATGTCTGCATACCTGATCCGATCATCGTTTTTGGATCGGGCTGTACGGACTATCCGGTGCAGCCGTTTCATCAATCATGAGAAGATAATCTGCTTAACGCCACACTATCCTCTTCAATCCGTGCCGGCGCGAAGGGGCGCGGGGGAGGCGCAGCGCTGCGTCGTTAGGATTAGCCTTTCCGAGTCCACGAGTGTTCTCGCAATTCGCATTTTACTATTGAGTTTACGTTACAACCAGCCCTTCGAAATTTTTCCTGCAACCCATATGTATGTATTTTACCTGTCCTGCACACATACTTGTATTTATTTGAAGTATTCGTATAATCGGGTGTGTTGGAGGTATAATCACGATTTTTTCTTCTATATAGACAATTGTTATTGAAAAATTTATTCGAAAATATATATATACAAAAAAAATTCAATTAGGACAATAAGTATATTGTTGTTTATGAATTATCTATAGTCATAATGTTCGTTGATTGGCATTATGAATATCGGTGGTTTAAAATTATTAATAATCATTATAATAGCAGTAATACATAAAATATGTGAGTGCACATAATCCTCCAGAATAATAGGGATTTCTAGTTTTATTTACGTTCGCATCGCACACAGGCTTATTTATTTATTTAAAAACAAATCAAATTAGAAGCAATTTTATGCGCGCGCTTAAGTAATGTACGAAAACGTCCGCAGGCGAATGAATCTTGTAGTTTAATGTCGCCAACGAATTTCTGGAAAACGGCGATAGCACGCATCAATAGTTAAAGTTAATCCACGGCTAAAATTAATCATTATATTATCGGGATCAGGCCGGCGAGTTGAACAGGTTTATAGTTGTATTCACGGCGAGCGTTGCGAGTTCTCGTCGTGCGACCTCAACATATCTCCGGATTAGCGGTCCGTCTGATCCCGGCTCACGGCTTAAATTCGAACCGAGCGCGCGGCTTAAACGAGGTGATTTCTCTCTTTTCCACGGCCGAAAGCCGAGACCGACACCGAGACCGAGACAGAAACCGAGACGGACTACCTACCTACTGAAAAGGGCTTAGACACCTATACGATCCGTATTTAAGAAATTCCCCTTCACGTCCACTTTGTACTCGATACATTCCCGAATACACCAAACTTGAGGATGGTGCGGTTCGAATTCTTTAAAAATTTGGCGTGAACGCTACCAGAGACTCGAATGTTATCGGTTGTAACTATTAACAAACCTCGTACGGGTTTATGAAAATTCACAGATGAATGGGATTAATTAATTCATGCCATTAAATTCTACTGATTAAGAAGGAACATAAATCAGTGACCTATTTTTTCTCCTTAAACTCGCGTCGTGGATATCGATCATTATCGATTATTTGCAATGGGAAATGGAGCGTTTGTTTAGCATACAAATAAAAAAGGATTTGTGTAAATGTTCAAGTTTTTTTTCTCCAACTTGCTCGTCTGAGTTCGGACATAAAATTCTTCAGCAGGAATATAATTAATCCGTCGAATCGTGGAATTCTCATGATTCGCTGAAATAATAAGGGGATATAGAGGCTGGATAGACTATTGTTTTGCACGTAGATGTAGTCTCGGATTTAGGGATAGATATTCCCGGGAATCAATGAAAGAATCCTTTTGAAGGAGGCAGGGCCGATTGTGTTGCCCTTCCAAATCCTTCCTACGAACTAAACGGTTTAGATGAGGTTATATCGGATCAACAATAAGTCAAATGCGGTTTCTATTTATTTTAAGTTATCCCTATGTTTATCATTTTCTACTAAACTACAGCCTAAAATAATAGCATACAGGGTAGTATTCATTATTTTTTATTTGTGCGGTGAAGTAAAATTAGATAACGGAGAATTTCACTGACTTTTGATACAAAATCCAAACGATATTCGGTAATTACATATTAGAAACTTTAAAATTTTATTAATTTCTATTAATAAAGAATAATGGAAGAATATGGCTTCCTGACAGAGAAGTTGCTATCAAAGAAATTGTAAGTCTCCGGCTTTCTTTGAACACTCCTTTTTGGCCTTAAAGTGATTATTAATTTATATGGCTTACAGCTTTTTACCAAAAATCCTCTTACATTTACCTAAGACTGTCTTTTGTTTCTTTCTCTTTTAAAGGAAAATGCTAATTTATATTTATAATACATTTTTTAAATAAATTCCTGTACACCCCGAATTTATCTCCTTCTAAGGATTGAACGTTCATTTTCGGATATAATGATCTCAAATGCAAGTTAAGACAAAAACTTCCAGCCGTCTCTTTGAAACGTAAAAGTATTGAAATAATTATCATGGACTTCCCTGCTCGCTTTAAATCTTCCAGTAATGAGCTGATGAAGGTTTCTTAGGCATTCGCCTTTATTATTTCATCAAACGACAAAAGCCATACTCCCTTATACCTGAGGCAAGTGTATATGCAGCAATTTAATTAATATGCAGCGAAACAATTTGTTTAGTACGTCATAAGGCAATTTCTGGAATAGGGGAAAATTGTAAACTGTAATTTAACTCGATTCGCATTCGAATGGATCGAAGGAGATCATCATCGCAGGAAACTAATAAGCCCGCCGAACGGCGTGAAGGGTATAGGATACACATCCCACTGGATTACTGATAGCCCACATCCTCCATTCATTCATTTATATCTTCGTTCTGATATTGTACTTGCACTTAATCATATCGCACACCAACACGCTAATAATGGACGTTATTTTTCGAGCAAACCTTTTTTTTTTATTTTTTGGATTACACTTACATGGCAGTTCGACAATGAAACGTCAAGTGTATCAAGAGCGACGTGCCCCTTCGAGGAGGGATGAAAGATTGCATTCGGCTTAGGGAACGGCGGATTAGAGAAAACCGGTAAGAGGAACGAAGAGCACGGTTCTTTGTAGGAGAATTACTGGAAGCAAGATTTTTTTATAATCCGTAATGAGTGGTCGAATGTAATCCAAACGGCGGAGTGTGTGTTGCAAAAAACCCGCGCTCGCCTAAACAATGCCTGCTATGCCTGATTCTTAACTCTTCTGCTGCAAACAAATAAGAGGAACGGGCTCGATGTACGTTAGTTATTAGGTATTATTCAACGAATCATAATCCCCCATGCACTAAAACTAAACTCTTTATAAGCGTAAAACCGCTTTAATTTGTATGTTAGTATGTACATTGTACATTACTAATCAATATTGTATCGTAAAATCGAACCAATTGTTTTGTAATTCCGTAGATAGTCCGGTTCTGTATTTAATCCCGATACAGAAATGAAGTTACTTAATGTTTTTCCTATCGACACAGACGAATATTAGTAGTGATTTTTAACGTTCGAATGGCTTTTACCTTTGGCAAGCTTTTTAAATAAAGAAGCTTTAAGAATAGTTTGTTCAGTTTTTTAAGCTTCTAGGGGATTGTTTCCTAAATATATACTCGAATACGAGAAAAACTTATTTCGAACGCTCGAGAAAATGTATTTTCATTTAAGATAGTCGAGTAAAGAAACTAAACAAACTGTGGATTAAAATTATATGCTTTAAAATTCCATAATATGGAAATTCGTACGGCCATGATTTAATCCAAATCAGCTTACGTGCTAAACTCGAGGATTAGTGATGCGAGTATACTCGGTTTTTTAACCATTTGTAATACTGAGATATATGTTTACTCGACTATATCTACTATCATTTCTTAGTATTACCCGGAGGATAATAATAGTAATTTAAGAATTTTATTGTTGAATATTGAAGCAAATATTTCTTTACAATGTATGCGTATATGATGTTGTGGAAAGATACAATATAATTTTAAATATAGTAAATTTGACAAAAAAAAATAATTAAAACGTTTTTATGATAGCAAATTAGCGAAGAAAAGTTAGTTTGTAATGGATAATTTAGGGCCGTTGAGCACGTAATCTTTTTCTCGAAAGGATCACGAAGGGCTATTTAAGGAAAGAGATCCTGGCGGGTAGCGAGGAAAACATAATACATAATGTACCCGAAGGAGTCCAACTAACCGTCCGCAAAACTCTGTAAACGAGGCCAAAGCGTCTTACAAAACAGCTTATTTCTATCCATTTTCTTATTAGCTTAAGTCTTGTTAGTCCAAAGTTTTAATTCTCGCAAGTTGTGAAGAGTCGACAGTTGAGGGCTCGGTATAGTTAAGTTTAGTGAGTGCTAAAGGGTCTTCGAACCCGCAATACTGTTTACAATAAGTCCTCAGCCCTGGCTCTGTTCTGCCTTCGCACTAATACGATTTCATGCCGGATTTACGATAAGGATTTACTTTCGAGGAAGAGCAACTTGGATTTTGTTGAAACGACGCGTCGCATCGTCTTACAACTGACGGAATGCACACATCTAAACGCACCTTTATTATCAAATCCTTAAATTCTCTACATTCAACCAATCCAAGGCTTCTCCAAGGAATTAATAAATTACCTGCAGTTTAAAAGAAAGTTTAATCAAAACTCAGTCGCGCGTAATTAGAGGTAAGGACCATAAGGTCAGTATGCAAATGAATTAGAGCTAAACAATTGCAGATCTTGGGCTTAATAAGTTTCTGGACGGTGTAGTTATTATAGTCGGTCTTATTATTTATAAGGTTGCATTATTGATCAAGCCGGACCGAACAAAGGGCCGGAAGGCAATATGAGCCCCAGTTAAGACGCTGGTCAGCCGGCCTGGATTAGAGCTGCCGGGATTAGCGACTAGTGGACTATACACAGCGCGGTAAGCCGCTGGGATTAGGACAGGGCCTGGATCCGGAACGGGATCTCCGAGATTTTCCTCTCTCCGCTCTGGACTCGCTGGGCTTTCTCGGCCGCTCTCTTGGCCGCTCTTGCCAGGAACATTCCTGCGTCTCGCCATCATATTAATCGTAGTTTTTTTTTTGTTGTATATAATTAAATTTTAACATCTAATCGTTTAATTGGCCCGTATCAATTTGAAACATTAACTCACGTATATACTTTCCTTTGTTCGACAGCTATTCAAGTTGGTTCGACTCGACTGAACTAATCCTTAAGACGCGGGGCTGGGTCGTAGTTGCTCAAACTAAACCTTTCTAATATTCAGAAACCTTCTTAACCTAACGAGATTAGCATAGACAGGCCAGGGAATCATCAAAAGCCCTCGTTTCGTTTCCTGCACGCGGGATTTAATAAGAATTACTTGTACCTTATATACGCCGGTTTAAAGCTAATAGCGATCTCATAATTAGCCGAAGGTAAAATTTTGACGTCGCTCATTCGTACCCATCAATTGATCTGTCTTCCTTATCAAGGGTTAACTTTCCGCTTTATATTTATTCCCATTAAGTTGGGAATCAGCCCTGAAAGCGGCGAATCATCTGCGTCGATGTCGCCTTCTGTTTATCTTTCCATCGTCTTTTTACTCCGCTCTCTGACGGTTCATTTGCTAACTCAGAAACGCCAGTGCATAAATTAATGTTCTCTTCACTGCTGCACAGGACCACACCTACTTAAAAAAGCTCGATAAAAATTTAACGGGGTGGAATTTTTGAGAATAAGTTTGGTTACATTGCAACGCAAGATTTTACAAACTACAATTTTATTGTTGTTGATTTATTTTTTATTTATTCAACGTAATGAATAAAGCGTTTGATATTTCGGCGAATGTATTAAGGGAGGCCGGTCCTGTTCTATGGAATTGAAACGTTGTATCATTAACTTTCTTTATGATGTTTCTATATTTCTTATCCCCGTGGTTATTAAGGAACCACCGCGGCTGAATATCATCCAAATCAAGTTAAGTGATGCCTACAATTTTTGCTTATCATTTCCTCGGAGCCATTTATAATTTTCGTAACGGCTATGTCAATACGGCCGAGGGGCGCGCGTAGATAACAAGCTACAGTTACAGTGTCACAGATTTAATTTTCTTTTTATTATTTTTTGATGTTTTGTTGCAGCGAAATCGCTGCCAGTTCACTGCATAGTGGAGGCGATATGCTCTTTGGAGGAGAACAGGTCTCTCCAGCACGGAGTTTGGAGGAGACGGCCGATCATTGAAATAGACACGTACGTGATTATTCCCGTTGGGACTCCTTTTCACAACCTCGTGCAGGCCGCGCTCTTCAGGCTGGGATATTCTTCGGAAAGCGTGGCGGCCGCTAAAGGTTCCGTGTTGATCAAAAATTGGAAAGCTCTGAGCTTCGATCAGATTTCTGACGATCCTTTGATTACTGTAGGTGATATACTTGGAGAGCTTTCTACTGTGGCTACCTTGAGAATACAGGTTTGTTACTGTTAACATAAATACTACTAATAACATGGAACAAGTCATGGAAGAATGTCAACTTTTGTGATGTAATAGATTTTTTATACCTATCAAAAATTTCAGATCTTCAGAGGTAGACCGGGTGGATTAAATGAAATAAAAGACAAATTACTCAAGTTTCTGTTACTCCAATCTCACGGGCTGCTCCTTTCTTCAGGATGTCCACTAGACGAGGTGAGTTATTAGTTTTTTAATGAATTGCATTACTACTTAGTCTAAAATTGTCATCAAAATATACAGGTATTTCTTGTGTGTAAGTGCAGTAATAATTTCATCCCTCAGCTAGAGCAATGCATAATTGAAGCCAACTATATTCTTTAATAATGTGCATATTGTAATAGAGCGTATTATAGTCGCGTTCGGCAAAGGAGCCGGTTTCGGTTCGCGTACACCCGCCTGTCTTAAGAACTAAACGAGAATTAAGGGTGCAGAGAATGGATGTAACCTTGCTCTTAATAAGATTATTCAGCATTATTTTATGGAATTAATGAGATCAAAAGGTTGCTACATCGTAGAGTATCGAGAAAATCTGTGATGTTCTTCAGACAATCTCAGTCGCGAATTTTCTTCAATATGCGCAAAATCGAAGGAAAAATTTACTATTATAAAAAAATACAATGAAACGTGTTAATCAATTTAGATACCTATAACGAATTAAAAACCTTGAAAAACCGATTATCGCAGAATTACAGGTTTTCTGGATGGAATTATCAATATTACAACAAAACAACATCGATTTTACTTTAAACAATCTAACTAAACAAGACGTTGTCGTTGACGTTGTTAGTTAATAGTTAAGATAATCTCGTGGTAATTTTTACATTCAAGGAAATTATTGTTTATGTTAACGAAACGACCTAATACGATAAATAATCATTATCTATTTAGTAGTAGAGTTTTTAAATTAACCGTGCATTTAAACTCTAATCTTTTTTCACTTTCGTTCTAACGCGACAATAACAGTAATTTCGTTTCGTTTACGAATCAAGTTAATAAATATCTGCGGAAAAGTTGAACGAGGGCGAATCGGCGGTTAACAGATATTTTATATGATCCACGTAAAGCAGATAAGACGCGAATAATAAGAAGCATATATTAGCAAATGTTTGTGCAGGTTTTGGAGCGCCAGATTAGGTGCTTAAATTGCTTAAAAGCAGTCGTTGAAAACATGTTTTCCCGGATTTATCTCAGGTTCAGCTGCTATTCAAATGAAAAGCGCAAGTGTTATGATTTATAAGTTCGCTTCCTCTGCCAATTCAACTTATTTTTGAATCTGTTGCCACGCTCTGAGTACATCCTGTACAGCCAATTTGGAGGAAAAGCGTTAAATATTCACCAGTGGCGGTGCGAAAAACCGATTACTAAAACGCATTTTTCATTATAGATTCTTTTAACCCAACTATGCCGAAGCACCGGTTCTTCAGCGTGTCCCCTGCCGGAAATATCCGAAGAAAACCGACGAAAATTCGATCAGTGGTGGGCCACCCAATTCAATCCCCAATCGCCCGCCGGCCGATCCCAATTCGTCCCTTCGTATCCCAATCAATACCAAGTCCCACCTCAAACTGCGGCGCCTTTGGAACGCACAATCCCCGACACCCATCCGGCCATGCAAACCGTTCACAACCAATTTCCCACCCAAAAAACCCGCATGCGGACGAGCTTCGACCCCGAGCTGGAGCTGCCGAAGCTGCAAAGATGGTTCACCGAGAACCAGCATCCCAGCCGCCAGCAAATACAGCAATACGTCAAGGAACTGAACAGCCTGGAATCTCGCAGAGGCAGGAAGCCTTTGGACATCAACAACGTGGTTTATTGGTTCAAGAACGCGCGGGCCGCCCAGAAGCGCGCCGAAATCCGGAACGTTTCCACGCCTAATCTCCACCACTTGGGCGTGAACGGCTACAGCAATCACAGTCCCACGAACGGCGGCTTTCTGCTCGCCGAAAATTACATGAACTCCGAGCAGCGGTTGAAGAACACTTTAGTTAGGCGGCATTTGCAGAATTCTCATACTTCCGACGAATATTCCAACGCAGGATCTGATATGGAAGACGAGGAAATAAGCGAAGTTCCCCCGAGCAGCCCGTCAGGACCGCTATCGCTTACCACTAGGAAGGATTCTAGAGAAACTAGCCCCAGATCGTCTACACCTCCGCCTCCTCCTGATATACAAGTACGTAAAATATTCTATTTTCAAACTGTATTGTTATTTTCAACGCTTTTAAATTAAGCGATAACGCTATTGCAAGACTGCTGGATAAATAAATGCTGCAATAACGTCAGCGCCCTTTTTACAGCGTCCCGTGCTCCTTGGGAAGTAAGCAACTGACTGTTACAGATCGAGAATTGCAAGGAAGAACCGAAGGACGAGGTGCCGTCGTTCAATTCGAACTCGGCCGAGCACGTCAACAGCAAAAATCTATCGGACGAGGCCGATGTCGAGGCCGAGGACGAAGAGATGGATGGCATGGCATCGTCGCCGGTGAGCCGGCGATTCTGTAATTCCCCCCAGGACGTGGATAATCAGCTTATTCCTCGAACCCCAGACGGCCTCGACAGATTAGCCGGATTTCCAGTCCTCCCTAATTCCATGTTCAGCCATAGTATTATGTATATGAGTCATTATATGCCGGGATTATCCCACTCGGCGACGTCTCCTCCTAGTTCGTCCCTTGCCATGTCTAATTTGACCGCCGACGAGCGCCGAAAGAGGAACCGCACGTTTATAGATCCGGTAACTGAAGTTCCGCGACTTGAACAATGGTTTTCCCTTAATACCCACCCTTCGCATAATTTAATTTTGAAATATACGGAAGAGCTTAACTGCATGGCTTATAGGCAAAAATTTCCTAGGCTAGAGCCTAAGAACGTTCAGTTTTGGTTCAAAAATAGGAGGGCTAAATGCAAGAGATTAAAGATGTCGCTCTTTGACAGTCAAACTGGTAATTATCATCACTCCGAAAGGGATGATATTAAACCGTTGCAACCTTTTATAAATAAATGAACTGATATTCAAATTACAGAAAAGCGAGATAGTTATCAATATTCTTAAATTAAATGTACCTGTATTTTTGTCCAAAAGTCGTACTAAAGCTTCCTTTTTCTAGCATTCCTTACGAATTTCATTTCAGAAATAATGAATATTCTTATTTACAATAAGACAATAATATTTATTTTTTCTTAAGTTAAGCAAATGTCAATTTTAACAAATGGGAAATTATTGCAAAAAAATTACATCGGGATAAGTAGAAAAATAATAAACGTATTCAACTCGCAAAAATTGGCGTATGCTCCAGCTAAAATCTGTTTACAAACATTCTTCTAAATGGAAAGCCTGCTTATGTGAAAATATAATCAAAAAAATAAGTAATTTAAATAGCGTTTCTATTTTTTCTTGTATAAGCCACCCACAATCTTATTGTAAATCTAGTACCTACAGAAGTAATTTATGTATAAATTATTTGTTACATCAAGACAAATTCTAATTTCCAGGTACTTAATTGATCATGAATTTTTTAATATGTATTTTTTAATGTTTTTTTCATCCATATACTTTCTGTTGTAAATTTTAGCGCCAAAATGTAGTATTGTGCAATGTATATATTCTGTAACGAAGTATTTAATGTAGGATTCTCTTGACACATTACGTGTTATTTTTATGTTATGTACCAAAGATTGTTAAATAGTTGCCAATCAAATATTCCACCCTCAGTATATGCAATATACTAAAAAATGTATTACGCCGCATACTTAATAGTCGTTGTGTATGTTGTAGATTATAAAATCGCAACTTGTCATTGTGAATCGAATGTGCAAATCATTTTTTTGTTATTTCTATGTTATATTATTTATAAATTCTGTATGTATGTAAATAAACCATTATAAAACTTTTAAAAATCGTTTTAATAATTACGTCCAATTTAATTGAATACACAGGAGAAAAATTTTTAAATTTACGAAAAAATCGATACCGAAATAGAGATGAATTAACCAAATTAGGCTGAAATTCACGGTCAAATAATTAAGCAAAAATCAATAATAATTATGAATGATATCAAATTCAAAGAGCAGCGCTCTATAAATGTACCATGCAGCTTATTTAGGTATTCATGTTTTCAATGCAAAAAAATAACTAATGATCCAATTATAGAGTTTGTTACAAAATGTACAAATCGAAAATAATTACGTTACGTACGAATTATGCCGACTGCAACATGCAGTTTCTAATCAATGAATCAAGCGACAAGGTCCAAAAACGATAATGCAAAAAATGTAGCATGTACGCGGGAATTTTTCATTCGAACCCTCCTGTCCCATTTCACAGCGCGGATATTTATTCGCTATAGTTACATTATGTTGCGAATCCGGATCTTCAATTTGGACCGCTGGGCCACCGAAGTTGGGAACGGACAACGTTCGCTTGTCCCTATCTAAAGACTGACGTAGATTATCACTGGCTGCCGGTAGTTTCCTGAAGACTTGGAAACTTGCTCGATGACGGGCTTTGTGAACGCCCCTACATTGTCAACTATCTGATCTAATGAATTGAAAGACACCCAAGCTGTTCTATTTCAAACTCTCTTCCGATACTGGCACACATTTAAGCGCTCCGCAAAATAAGATCGGATCGCGCGGCGTTCCACAAAAGTTATACACATTTTCGTGCTTTTCACTTGTGTAATTTATATCGCGACGTTACATCAGTTCCGAGTTTGTCGTATATCCAGTTTTAATGGATTCCAAGATGGAATATTATTCGGGAGAGGAAATGAGATGTTGATATGTGTGCCACGCCAATGACAACAACCATGCTTTGCTGAATGGTATCATGCCGTTTATTAACAATAGCTCAATCGACGAATAAAAATCCACGGATAATTTAAGTTAACTGCTAAAAATCTCGATATATTTTTTTTTTCTTTAAAACGGGAAGCTGATTTTCCCGCTAGGAATTATCAACTAAGATAGTGAAGTAAAGAGTTGGAAGAAAATTCTCGAGACGTTGGAAATAATGCGCTTAGTTATTTCATCAACACGACTTATTGAATAAAAAAAATTAAGTAATTTAAGTACGATAAAAGGCTCTTGTATCATACGAAAAACCATTACGTTTCCTATAAGCAAATTTCATTCGTGCAGTGCCATCGAGTCATAAACAAGTCCCGAATAATTACGCTCGCAATATCGTCTGCACGATAATACGTAAGTAGTTCGTTAAAGATGTTAAGAAATCGTTTGTGCATAAAATCTGACATATTATTTCGACGAACGTAAATGGGGAGTTTTGTTCCGAGCAAATCTTTGTTTTATCATTATTAACTTCAGACGCTGATGTTTCGGCATTCAAATACCTGCCGTCTTAAAATGGCTACGTAGAAAACAGACAATGAACTCAATCCGATTTAGCCAATTAAAAATATCTTTACCGACTTGAACTCGTCTGATACCTGTACATCTTAAACGAGATAATACCGAAATTATTAAAGACGCTAATTAAAAACGCTATTTTTACCAGATTCCCTACCGTAATTATATACATATATAGCGTACATAATGTACATTCCCCTTATGTTAATTAAATCGAAAACGAAACGACATTCGGAAAAATAGCGGAAGACGAAAAGTTTTTATCAATTCGAAGGGCTAAAGCGATTCCATTCGGCAATGATACTCCTTCATCATCGCCTGGAAAAGAATATCGCTGATAACCCGCCCGGTGTGGTTTTATTAAATGAAATAAGATGGCGCGTTATCGGCGGTTGATTGCCACCTTCGGCAGCTTTCATTTTTCGCGAATTAATTTCCTGTCTAGCATTCTTTAAAAAGGGGAGACAACCGAGATGCAACCCGGCTAACCGAATCGCAATAAGAAAAACTCTTTAACTGCCACACCGCACTGCCTATCACTGGTTATTCGCGGTGTTTGTATCGCGAAAAGAGAAAATTTAATTAAAATTCAATCATCAAAACGTTACGCTGTGTGTTATCTGCGCCCGAGCTCTGCCTAAGAAAACATTTTAAATAGTGCATTGTCAGTATCTCCATTGCTGTTGTCGATAAAATTATGTGTCTTAAATGAGACCGAGAAACAGGAACGGACTCATCGATTTTCCTATAACCTGGAATTATGTATAACTATTTCATTTTTTACATTTCTAATTTTATTAAATTCATGCAGTTGTACTGGCTTCTATAACATGCTCAATTTAATCAAATGTTGGCGGAGAACAAACATTTTTACGAGGACAGAAAATTGTAAACCAAAAACTTTTTTATTTTCCTTTAAAAATTTTTAACTCTCGCCAAAAACCAAATAATAATGTTAGAAATTTTCCCGATATAACGGTAATGGAATTGGGCTAGTCCGAGCCTGGGGTATAAAGAATATTCCTAAGATAAAATTTGTGGTGCTCTTCTGCTGGGCATTTTGGCTGCCGTTGATGTGTTTTGGAAGCTCTTGTGAATTTTTATATCTGTCGTTGTGTCGTGTTTTAGTTTACCACTTTCATTTCCTTATATTGATGTTAATGATAACAATTTATTTATCAGCGCTCATTTACAATCGACCACTTTGAACAGTGACCTAATTTTTGTATTAATAAATTTGCACGTTTTTTGGATGAGTTAATAATAAAATTTTATTATTTTTTTGCTTAGGGTATTTATTAATGACGCGCAGAAAATGAATGTACCAAAAATACGGCCCTAAAAAGTTATTAAATTTTATTAAAACCTATTAATTTAGATATTTGGTTGAATTACTTGAAATATTGGGAAATGGAACAGTGGAAAACAATATGATTATGTTCTATTTTTCATTCGACTGTTTCACAAGAAATTAAAAATGGATAAATAAACTACTGCTTTCAATGTCTATTTTAATATAAAAAAGGGTGGTAAATTTCTTTTCTGTTAGCATAACTTTGTGCAAATTTCGTGCAAAGACATGCAATTTTTAGAGGTGCATTTTTGCAAAAATTTTATGTACCTAATTTTCGCGAAGAAATCATTCACACAAACGCATTTCACTGACTATTATTTTCTGCGAGTTTATCTCGGAAATTCCATCAAATAAGCCCCAAGGCGAACGGAAATAAAAACGTGTCGACTTAATCCTTCTGAGAGATATGCATAAAAATAATTCGTCAGTTACTGAGCTAACACTTTTCGGGGATGAAATAGGGAAGGAGACGATGAGAAAAAAAAAAGGAGGAAAACGGTTTTTCACGGTTGGCTCGAGATATGTGAGGCTCGCTTGAAGACTGGAGTACACTGAAAATCCTCCGCAGCTCCTGATCACGTTCTTAAGGAGCCGAGTTGTGATCCGATTAGCTCGCCGCGCCACCGACGCAATCTCGGGTAATGATAAAAATGGCAATAAAAATTAGGGATAATAGGGCGAGAGAGATCTAACATAGTTGCCACAATTTCTATAAACAAAATAATTCAAGAAATATTACCAACTAAAAAAATGCTATCTAAAATCAATTGATTTAATTAATGGGACTTGCTTTGCATTAGGAAAAGGTCTTAAATCGATTTAAATAAGGAATGGAAAAATCGTCGATTTTATCTGGGTGTTAATCGGAAAACGGTATCCGAATTTTCGTGGCAACAGTGAGAGGAAGGACTTGATTGAAATTGCGGCGCTGCCTCGTCGGCCAGATAAGGGCTAATGCTAAGGGAATCAAATTAGACGCAAATGATCGGTTATAGAAACAAGGCTCGATTTGAATTTAAAATCGAAGTTGAAGTGGCTTCCGTTCGGCCTTTTACCAACTTTATCCTCGGTGAGTGGAAAGCGCGGTTTTCGTCGAATCCATTTACTTAAGATTTCCTCTGAATTTTAACTTGTTATACTTGTGTTTTTCCGATGTCTGAATGCAATTTGCTTCAAAGGCGTATCAGGTTTTATCCCGTACGTCTCCAGCACTTAAATCAAATAGGGATTATCTCTTGTTTCTTAAATACCAAAAAGTATATATATAATTTAAAAAAATGTTTAAATTTGATACGTTTTTAAAGATTGTAAATTATTACTCTACGAAGTATAATTATAAAAGAGGGATGATCTCAGTGGGAAGCATTTAAAACTCCTTTATCATGCGTTATGGTTGTAATTCATGTTTCCGTCTCAGTTATGAATAATAAATACTGATATAGGGCCGTCGTAATCTGTGCTGGGCGCAAGCAACCGCCTTCAGCGAGGAATATACATATTCCGCGGCCAAGTCGGGGAGCTACTTATCAGCTCCCTGCTAAATTAAAGATAAAAATATACAGTCACGTCCGTTCTAAGTTAGGCTTATTCAATTTCCATCTTTTATCCTCGCGTATACTACACTCCGGGAGATGTTGCTGTACGTTTTTAATTAATTTTCAAAAATCCAATAGGAACAAATCGAAATGTGTAACTGGAAAGTATCTTAAGCAGGAAATTATTTATTGTGTAACGGGAGGATTTAAAGGTCGCTTCTGCTTGGTAAAAAGGAGTCGAGTCGGGAGGCAGGCAGGCGAGAGCCTTCGAACGTACGAAACGTATCCGATAGCAGCGCACCTGGCTTCCGGTAAATTCTCAATTCTCAATCCTAAGATGCATGGAGGCCGCAATCTTAATTAATTTCGCAGTCGTAATCTCGACCAATTAAACGGCAATTTCCCGGAAAACATAAAGGATTTTTGCGCGAAGGGCGCTCCGGACGGGGAAATACCGCCATAACTCATCTATCCTATAAGATTACTGATCTTTAATCCCCTTCTTCTCTCTTTAGCGAGCCGCGCACTCCTAAAAGTTGAGATTTACGGCGTTCTTGGAATTATATTGTTTGGCACAGTGCGAACCGCTACCGTTGCCTTTTCTTTTTCGAACGCTACATTCATCCCGCTCC